TGGTGATGGTGAGGGGCGGCCGGGCCGGTTCAGAGAAACGCTGATTCGGACTTAAAACCCCGATTTCCTGCAGCGACTGCCTTGAAAATCCTGTGGAGTCTGACACCACAACCCCAGGGGCAGCGACCCGCTGAGTCTGGGGACAGGGCGCTGCAGGCACCATTTAAAGCCTCCTTGCCTTACAGAGAGTGGACATTCTCGCTGCCATCTCCGGGTCACCAAAGTGTCCACCCCACCTCTGAGCCCTCAGCGGATGCTCCCACTGCGGTCGGGACGGAAGAGGTGGTCGTGTCCACCCTGGACCGGGACAGACTCGCGGTCCCTTCCGGGCCAGCTGCGGCCAGAGGGCACACTGTGTGAATTGTCTCCAAAATGCCCCCTATGGATCCTCCCCTCGCTGTGGGCGCCTTGCTGCTCCCATCCAGAGGTGGTCTGTTTTCCCTCCGCTTGAATCCATGACTTGGTTTGATTTAATTTGACCAAGAGGTCAAGTCCCAGCCAATCGCTCCCCTCCCCAAACCCTTTAAAGTTTTCCTCTGTCCCCACAGGTCAAAGCCAGAGTCCTAATAATGGTCCAGACCTGCTCTGTCCAATAGGGTCACCACTGGCCAATTACGACAATTTAAATTCAGATGTTGTTAAGATTAAATAAGATTGAACATCCTTTCCTTGGTCATAGCAGCCGCATTACAGGTGCTCAAGAGCCGCAAGTGGCCAGTGGCTGCCCTACCGTCCACTGTGAGTATGGGACGTTTCCATCATCGCAGAAAGTCCTCTTGGACAGCACTGGTCTGCTCACTCTGTCCCCATGTTCCCTCTGCCTCATTGCCCACCACTCCCATGTGCTCCAGCCACCAGGTCTCCTTGCTGTTCAGGGAACACATGGAGCACATTCCTGCCTCAGGGCCTTTGCACTTGCTATTCCCACTGCCCAGAGGGCCCTTCCCCAGGACATTTGCATGAGTCTGTCCTTGGCTTCATGTAGGTCTTTCTTCAAATGTCATATTCCCAGGGAGGGCTCCCTTGACCCCCCCATTAATCATGTCACCCTTCCCGCAGTCCCCACTTTATTCTCAGCGCTCTGATCGCCACCTGGCGTGACTTGCTTCTGCTTCTGAGCAGCGCACCGACTGTACGTGTCAGGGGGCTTGACCGAGGGAACTGGGGACGCGGGGGTGGAAGGCAAAGGGCAGAGAGGGGAGGGCGGGGCCCCAAAGACGCTGAACGCAGCCGCTGCTCCCCAGGAGGTGCCGCTGCCCGAGCCCCGCCCGCTGCGCCGCGAGGTTCCCGGCCTGAGGGGGACCCAGGAGCCACCTGCAGACGGCGCCCCCGCGCGGTTCCAGCTCCCACGGCGCCCGCGGGGCGGCGGCAGCGGGGGAGGCATCCGGCTGCGGCCGGGGCTGAGGGTTCCACCCGGTGACGGGGGGCTGAGGGTCCCACCCTGGGCCGGGGGTGGTGAGCAAGGGGTGGGGGCGCAGGGCCGCTCCCGGCTCCAGGGAGTGTGGGCCCTCCTGTCCCCCCCGCGGCCCCGCGCCAGCACAGTGTCTACACACGCTGGCTGCCCAGTTTCTAGTTATTGAATGACTGGCGGACGGAATGAGCCGCGCGGGCGGGCGAAGCAGACCAGATGCGCCGCGCAGGAAGGTGCCAGAACGCTCGCCCTGGTGGGAGCGCGCCGCGGGGGGCTGGGGGAGCGTCTCGGTCCGAGCCGCGTGGAAGGGGGCGCGCGGAGCCCACGGGGCCCTTGGCGGCGGGCTGATCCCCGCGGGGTCTTCGGAGCCGGAGGGGGCCTGGCTGCCTCTGCGGAGACGAGGCCGCGTCCGGGGAAGAGGCCGAGGGAGGCGGCGGCGGAGGAGGGGGCCGGGCCCGGGGCGGGGAGGGGCCGCGGAGGGAGCGGGACAGACCTGTGCAGACCCCGGGGCGCCATCCGGGGGACGGACGGAAGCTTCCAGAAAAGCGCAGGACACGCGCCTTCTCCGTGATGCTTCGGGGAATCCGGCGGGGCGGCCGGGAGGCCGGGGCGGGGGAGGGTGTGTCATCACCTCCCGTTTAAGGTCGTTCGGGGAAGCCCCACTGAGAAGTGACATTTGTGCAAAGACTGAAGGAGGCGAGGAGGCGAGGCTGGCGGATGCCCCAGGGAAGCGCGTTGCGGGAGGCGGGAACAGCCGGTGCGAACTCCAGGAGGCAGGGGAGTGGTTGCAGGGGCTTAGTCACGGTGTCTTCACGGCCCCTCCAGGTGCTGTGTTTGTGCCTCCGTGGGGGGGGGGGGGGGGGCGTCTGCAGAGTGAATAGATGTGTGCGTGCGTCTTTATTTCCTTCTTTGGATAGAATAGGTTTGGGGGAATTAGGATGAAGCCACGTTTTTGCTCCCATTTCCCAGATGAGGAGACTGAGGCTCAGAGAGGCGGGGACGGGGGCTCGAACCCGGATTTGTCCCACTCCAGGGCTCCCTCGGTAACCGCTTAACAGCATTACGTTTCCAGAACGTGAGGCCGAGGTGCCCCAGCTCCAAACCCCAGCCATCCCCTCCCAACCTCGCCCCCCCACCCCAGGCTGAACCTGCCCCGGCCCCTCGGCCCGCTCAAGCGGGGACAGGGTGTCCCGAGACTCCTGAGAGCGTGGTGAGCTCCTAGTATTCGTGGAGGGGAAGGGCAGGGGCTCCGGGGGCGGCACACGACGCCCCTCCCCAGCGCCCACCCCGGGGAGTGGAGCCGCGGGGCCCACCAGGGGGCGCTCCGAGGCCGCGGGTGCGGGGTGCTCCGGGCACGTGCCCTGCGCCCCGGCGCCGCCTCGGCTCGGCTCGCCAGGCTGCGGAGAGCGGGCCATCCTGCACGGCTGCGTCCTTCACCGGAGGTCCCGGGGTCAGCGGCGTGGGCATCGGCTTACGAACTTCCAGGAATGCGCATTCCTGGGCCCACCCCAGACCTGCAGCATCACTTGGGGGTGGGGCCCAGAAATCTGTTTTAAAAGGCCCTCCGGGTGTTTCTGATGCACGACCAGCTGGAGAACCCCAGCTCTGGGGTCTGATTCTCCCCCTGACCCCGCGGGTAGCCGTTCTCTGCCCCGGGTGCACACTGGAATCGTCTGGAAAGCTTTAGGAACTACGGGTGCCCGAGCCGTACCCTGTACTGTTCCATGGGAATCTCCGGGAGGGTAGGCTGGGCGGGGGTAGGTCATCCACACGGCAGCCAGGACTGGGAACAGCTGCGCTAAGGGACCCAATCAGGGCTGGAGAGTCCGGTAAAGAATTGGCCGCCACTGATACAGAACAGGAATGAGACAAGATGACGTCTGTTGGCGCCGATTTGAGCACTAACACATTACGTCTTCATCAGTCCTCTCAGCAATCCTGGGAGGAAAGCTCTGTTATGAGCCCCCTTTCAGATGAGTACATGGAGACACAGAGGGGTTAAGTAACCAGCCCGAGGTCACACAGCTTGTAAGGGGCGGTGCCGGGAGAGAACCAGGCTGTCTGACTCCAAATTCCTCCTCATCCGTTGTCTGCAGCACCCCCTCCCCCAACGGTTTCCTTCTGTCCTGGTCACACCATCATGGGGTCTGGGATGGGGGACTTGGAAAGTCCCCTTCTGTCACAGGGTGGCACCTCCATGTATGTATTCCATTGTCTTTGGTGACAGGGGCGGCTGGGCCAGTTTAGAGAAAGGCTGGTTTGGAGACAAAACGCGTTTTCTGTGGCTTCTTCCCTGAAAATCCTGGCTCGTTTGAAACCACGGCGCCGGAGGCACCCAGGGGGCATTTGGAGACTGGGACTTGCAGGCACCATCTGAAACCCCCCCAGGGTTGAAAATAATATTGAAAGTCCAGGTACCCGTCTCCGGTTCCCAAGGGACCTCCCCCTTCCTGGGCCTCGCTGGATGCTCCCGCCTGGAAAGCTGGGGACAGGGGGGGACAAACTGAGAATCAGCTGGGGGACAGATTTGCCCAAAGTCTTGAGTCTCTCCCACCATCTCTGCTCCCGTCCTCTCACCTTCCAGCAACGCAAACTGGCCGGGTCCCCACGGTGAAGCCACTATCTTCCCAGATGGGCAGCCACCATGGACAGCCTCCACTGCCACTGCCAGCCTGGCATCCAGAGAGCTCTCTGGCCGCTCCAGAGATGCGCCCCCCCCAAACCCCCTCCAGCCTGGCGATTCCCCCGCTCCCTGCAAAGTTCACCCGTCCAGATGAGGTCCACACCAGTCTGCCTTCCAAACCCCACTGGGGGCTCTTTCTTGCTGGGCTACGAGCTGTGAACTTCCCCAAGTGCAAAGGGGCTCTTGGCATTGCACAGCACCGGCAAGGACCACCTCCAGGGCAGTGGCAGAAAAAGGAATTTAATTCTTTAGTTCCAAGGGAAAAAAAACTAAGACACTCCGGCCAGGACTGTGGCCACAGCCAGGAGGACAGAGCTGGCCTTCAGACCTCCCTTCTCCATGAATTTCCTTTTCTCCTGCCTTCCTCGAGGTGTGGCTGTTTGCAGTTTTTCACAGGTGGGGGTATGGTGGGGGGGGCACAAGACAATACAGAGATGTCCCCCCGCTCCCACGGGGCCGTAGCAACCCGCTCTCTCCCTGATGACAAGCTCCAGTCACAGGACACTACCCACATCCACACCACAACCCCCGTTTGGGGACTGTTCCTATTGCAATGATTTTCCAACGTGTCCAGTGGCCAAGCGGCCCCGGAAGATGTTTGTGGGGCTTGATCCAAATAGATTCCTGGGCCGCACAGCGAGCTCTAGAAATCACAGCTCTGGCACGAAGGGCCCCAGAATCTGCATTTTGGACACGTTTCCTGGCTGATTCTTCTGTACCTCGTAACCAAGGTCAGGGGAGATGTGTCAACTGCAGACCCCCGACTCTCCGAGCCAGCAGAACCCGGGGGGCCTGGGGATGACAGGCAAAGTGTCACCATCACAGAGGGCGGGAGTGTAGAGGACACCAGGGTGCGACCAGAGCGCCCCGGAGCATTCTTCAGTTGCCAAGTGCCAAGCCAAGAAATGAGTTTGGAAATGTTTTTATTTGCAAATTGGCTTGCGCCAAGTTCAAGGCGCCTTTCTCCCCGCCCCGCCCCCCTTCCCAAGCTGAGCACCTAGGGTTGCACTTGAGGAAGTTAACAACATGGGTGATGCCACCCCACTGTATGGGGCCTTTCTTTACGTTCCTTGGGTTCCTACAAGAGTCTCTATTTAAAAAATCAACGCATGAAAGAGAAAACCTTAACAAGAAAACAAAGAGGGGGGTTGGGTGGAGATGTGAGGGCGCTGTCTGCCGCCGTCCCCACCTCCATCTTCAAGTGCGGAGGCAGACAGGGCCTCCCTGTCCAAGGGGGAGAGAGCGAGGGACGCGCCCTGAGTGGCCGACAACGTGGCAGGTGGCGGGGTGTTCCGCGGCCCCCCGCCCCCACCTCACAGCTGGTCCTCTTGTTCTCCCTGCCCTGCTTCTGCCCTGGCCTCGGCCCTCAGCACCCTGAGGTGCCTGGCCTCGCCTGCCCTGGGGACTCTCTTGGGCAGGGCTGGCAACCGCGGAGTGTGCCAGAGGGCTCTCCGGCGCTTTCGGAACCACGAAAAGCGTCCAGGGGTCTGGAACCTCACCGTCTTCACCTGTTTCCGGGTCCTAGTTCCTGGGGTTGTCCCTGTGGACCCCCGGGCAGCTGAGGCCTCAGCTTCCTGGACAGCCGGGGCCTCTGCCCTCTGATCAGCTATGGCCTCTGCCTCATCACCTGCAGCCTCTGCTCCCTGGACAGCTGGGGCCCCTGCCCTCTGATTATCCACAACCTCTGCTCCCTGGATAGCTGGAGCCCCTGCCCTCTGATTATCCACAACCTCTGACCTCTGGACAGCTGGGGCCCCTGCCCCCTGATTATCCACAACCTCTGACCTCTGGACAGCTGGGGCCTCTGCCCCCTGATTATCCATAGCCTCTGCGCCCTGGAGAGCCCTGGCCTCTGCCCTCTGGTTAGCTGCAGCCTCCTTCCTCTGATCATCTGCAGCCTCCACCCTCTGATCATCTGTAGCCTCCTCCCTCTGATTAGCTGCAGCTTCCACCCTCTGATCATCTGCAGCCTGCGCCACCTGATCATCCTCAGCCCGTGCCCTCTGATTATCGGCAGCCCCCACCCTCTGATCATCAGCAGCCTGTGCCCTCTGATTATCTGCAGCCTCTGCCCTCTGATCATCGGCAGCCCGTGCCCTCTGATTATCTGCAGCCTCTGCCCTCTGATCATCGGCAGCCCGTGCCCTCTGATTATCTGCGACCTCCGCCCTCTGATCATCCGCAGCCTCTGCCGCCTGAGCTGTGGACGCTGCTTCCTCCCTCCTGCGCCGCCGGAAGGAGGCCCAGTTGATCTTGGGCCTCCAGCGTCTTGGGGGGGTCTCAGGCACCCGTGGGTCTCCTGCATCCCCCACAGGATGGGCGCCGCCTGGCACCGAGGCCCCCTCCCTCTCCACGCGGGGTGAGGCCTGCTGGGCCTCGCTCAATCCGGGGCTGGACCTCGGCGCCCAGCCCTTCACCCTGCGCTTCAGCTTCCCCCAGGACACCTGGCTGACATACTCCCGCCACCTGTCCGCCTTGGACAGCTGGGGCCCGGGGCTGTCGTCAAACATGGGCACGGGCAGGGTGACTCGGCGCCGCGGGGGTGGGGCGCTGGGTTTCTCCCCGCGCCGGAGGAAGGCCTCCACCAGCTCCTGGTCGTCCTCGCTCTCCAGGTCGCTCCCGAGGAATTTGCTGCCCAGGTAACTGACCGGCATTCTGCGCACCCTTCTGCGGCGCCTGGGGCCTTTGGGGCCCTTGTCACCCTTGTCTCTGGAGGTCTCGAAGTCGCTGAACTCGCTGTCGCTGGCGTTACTGCTGTCGTAGGTGCCCACGACCAGCCGGGGGGGAGGGGTCACCATCTGCTGGACTCTCCTCCTCACTCGGGGCTCCTTGGGTTTTTTGGGGGGCTGGGGTGGGTGCGGGGTGTTCTTCTCAATGATGCGGGCCACGTCCTCCAGGGTGCGGCCTTCTTCCTCCAGAAACTGGGTCAGCCGCTCCCGAAATTCCGCCTCCTTGGTGGCGGGCTTGGAGATGACCCTCCAGACGCCCCCGGCCAGCCGGACCTCCCGGGGGATGAGCAGGTAGTCCACATCCTCCCCAATCTGCAGCATCCCCACCGTGGAGTCCTCCTCCCTGCGGAACACCTTGCCGATCTTCTTAAAGGTTCCCACGGGCTTCAAGGCCTCCACGAGGACGTCCAGATCCACATCTTTGCAGACATCCGGGACGCTCCAGAGGATCAGGCAGTCGGGGGAGGGGAGGAAGCCCCAGGGGAACCAGCCCCCCACGTGGCTTTTCTCGAGGGTCTTTAAGATCTCCAGGGTGAAATCTGGAGTGGGGGCCACAAGCCCAAACTACACGAAGCCGCTGGTCTTGGGGGGACGGGGTGGGGTCCCGGCGGCGCTGCCCGGAGCGTCTCGCACCCCACCAGCCAGGGATGAACGAACACTTCCCAATTTCTCTGCCTGCCACCAGTCCGGTCTGGACCAAGTGCGGATCCCCTCCAAGACGGGTGGGAATCAATTCCCAGGATGCTTACGTGAGCCAAGGCGAGGCCAGTCCTGGGGCTCCCAGCCCACCGTCAGCCAGCGGCCAACGAGGTGGGGCGCACGGGCTGCCCGTGGCTCTTCCCGCCCCGGGCCCCGGGGACGCGCCTGGAACTTGGGAGACGACTTCGCAGACAAAGACGGCCGGCTATTCAATATGGCCGAAGCACTTGGAGGCCGCAGCCCGGCCCCCAGGAGGGTCTCCCGCCCCTAGGCAGGCTGCCACCCCCGGCCAGGCTGACCTTGCCGCGCCTCCCGCCTCCCGGCCCGCGCTCAGCGCCGAGGAGCGGAGGGGCAGGAAGTTCCTCCTCGTCCTCCTCCTCCAGCGAGGCCCACCTTCCCCCTTCTCATCTTACACTCCCGACTCGGGAAGACTGACAGGGGGGCCGTCCACTCCCTTCGGGGCGCCCTCATCCCCTCCCCCCGGGGGTGTGGCCGCGCTCCGGACCTCACTGGGGCCGTCGCCTCCAAGCCGAACGCCCGCCAGGGCCCACGTCAGCACTTTCCCCGAGAAAGGCCGCGGCTCCCAAACCTGCCGTCCGAAAGGGGCGGGTTCCAGCCCAGCCCCGGGGGTAGGTGTGCTAAGGGGCCGTCCTTTGGAAGGCCACTTACATGGTCCATTTGTGTGTTACCAGCGGTTCCTCGCTATATGCCCCATACGTGTGGGCGGAGAAATGGGTACCAGGGTCTTACTGCACCGGCCCCCGGTGTGGGGCTTGGCACACAGTTGCTGCTCAATAAATATTTTTGACTGAATGAATGAACCTAATTGTTCGTGGGCAGGGACTGACTCGATGTTATGGTCTAATCTTCCAGTGGAATACTAGACGGCTATGAAAAAGAAGGATGAAGTTTACAGAGCGCTTCTCTGTCCTAGGCACCATTCTAAGTGCTTTCTCTGAATTCACTCAGGAAATCCTCCCCATGTCACTATTAGACACTGGGATGCTCCTTCTCATTTTATTGCTGAGGATAGAAAATCACTTGCTCAAGGTCACCAGGCCAGGAAGTGATGTCACCTGCCTGTGAATCTGAAACGGTCTGTGTGTGTGTGTGTGTAGGGCCTGGTGTGTACATGAACTTGCCACATGTGCAAGCACTGCCCACAGTGGCTGTGTCTAGGGAGGGGCCTGGGGACCCCCAGAGGCCATAGAGACATACACAGGCCACTCTATATTCTTTAGGATTGCTTGGACTTTTAGCCATCAAAAATGTTAATTAACGTAAATTAAGCAAAAAGGCCTCAGACTCAGCCACAGACACAGACATAGCGGATCAGGATCCCTAGGAGTTGGGGCCAGGCCTTGCAAAGCTTCCCAGGTAACTCTGAGGCAGCGGTCTCAGCGATAACATGCACAACAATAACAATGGCATTAGTAATAATAACAGTTAACTTGCATGGAGGGTTTCCTTGGAACCAGGCACCCAGTGAGGTGCTGAGCACTCCTGTTATGAATCTTCAGAGCTGGAGGGTAGGCGGGTGCCTTCGCCAACATCTGCTTACAGTAGGGAAACTGAGGCTGGTCTCAAGTTGCACCATTTGAACTGGGCACAAAAATAAACGCTGATTCCCTGCTCCCCTCTTAAAAGCTAGGCCGATTAACCCCTTAAGAGCCACAGCATGTGGAACCACCCTCATTGCTTGCCTTGCTCCCTGCTTCTCTCCCCACCCCCACTGCCTGCAGTCCATCCCTGACCCAGGAGCTGGAGGGATCTTTTAAAAACCAAAGTCAGATCTGACTCTACTCTTTTTAAAATCTCCCCTCTCACTCAATCACAGTCCTCACCTCGGTCCACAAAGCCCTACAAGATCTCCCCACTCCCGTCTCTCCTCCTCGCCTCACTCACCTCACTCCAGCCACACCTCTCCCTTTTTCACTGTTCCGCCAACACACTAAGCTCGCCCCCAACCACAGGGCCTTTGCATTTGCTGTTCCCGCCGCTCAGAATGTTCTGCCCCACCTTCTCTTGGCAGTCTCCCTCGGCTCCAATGTCACCTTCTTAGAGAGGTCATCCCTGCCTCCCTTTCCTAAACTCTGACTAGCTCCGGAATCCTTAACCCTTTCTGTGCCACGGCCCCTTTTCAGGATACAGTTTTTCGATGCACAGAATTGAATCCATTGGATGACAAAGGAAACCACTTATAGTGAAATCCAACCGTTAAAAGAAAAGTTCCGACCACGACAAACCTGGTAAACGAATGACTTGAATATGAGGAATAAAAACAAACACGTGTACTCTTGTGGAACTCACGTTGTGGGGTTTTATCCAACTCCTGAAGGAACCAGGCAGATGTGTAAGAGAAACAGGCAGGAGAGAGAAAAGGAAAGGAAGGGAAAGAGGAAAAGAAGGAAGGGAGATGGGGGGATGGGAGGTGGGTAAGGGCTCAGGGAGGCCTTTGCACAATTATTGGCTCATTCGAGTTGTTTTTGTTTTTGCAGAGCCGGCCGTTAGGGTTCACCGGCTTTCTCCTCCTCCTGCTCGAGCCTCCATCCCAGCCCCCCGCGCTCAGCCCCCGCCGGGCCTCCCGCCACCCCGCCCCTCCCCTTTGCGCGGTTTCTCGCCCCGCCTCCTAACGGTCTCCATGGCAACGAGAAGACGCGTTGCTAGGCGCCCGTCCGCGGCGAGGCCGCGGGGCGCTGGCGGAGGGCGGAGGGCGGGCAGCGCCTCCTCTCGCCTTCTTCTCCCTTCCTTCCGCCTGATCCCCCAAATCGGGTCCCCTGAACAGCTGCTTCGCAGAGACCCGAGACTGAAAACCCCTAGGACACCCGTTTGAGAAATTCTGGCGACAGCATCCAAGTCTGTGAAGTCATGACGACGCCCTCCGAGCGATAAGGACCTCCTCAGATGAGACATTTGGATTTTGTAATTGGTAAAAGCGTTTGGGTTCTTGTTTGCTGGGGGAAGGAAGGATTATCCTAGAAATGGAAACCTCAAATATTCAACATGCTTGTAAAAATTGCCAACCCCTGAACAGCTCCCCTGAGGGTGTTTCAGATTCCCAGATCGCTGGCAAGGGAATCTTTCTCCAGCCGCCCTAGGGAAAACACAATTACAGCTCCCACTTCTCTGTTTGTTTAAAAGAAACGAAAAATCAGAACAGAATGAGGGCAGAAAACAAAACCCGGCCCGAATCTCTCCACCCAGCTACACTTGGTTGCCATTTTAAACAGTAAGAATAATAATAAAAGTGATACACACACAGGCTAAGAAAATGCTGAAGTTACAGAAAGGTGTGCAATGGAAAACGTCTGCCTCCCCCAGCCCGGAGCCTCAGCCTCTCTCCCCACAGTTAAATATCTCTCTACTTTTCCGAGGGAAAAAAAATGCTTCTATTAGTATATTTTAGTAATTTCAGAATTCTCCCCCTGGGGATTTTTCACAACATCCTGAATTATTTTCATCACAGTACTAACCACTTCTTGGCATTTTCTTATTTATTTATTGTCTCGCCCTGTTAGAACATTAGCCCCACGAGGGCAGAGATATCTGTCTGGCTGGTTCATTGCTGAATGCCCAACATCTAAAACCGTGCCAGAAGGTGCTCCAAATATCTGTGGAATGAATGAGAGGCTTGCACTAGATCTGTTACTGTAAAACTTGCTTTGTTCCCCCTGAATAGCGTGTCTTGAAGTCTTTCCAAATCAGTACACACGGATCCATCTCAGTTTTCTTTTTCCGGGACAGCTTCCACCTTTGCGTGTGCCCGCAGGCCGGGAACGTGATAACACTGACAATAATTCACCTTTATTGAGCAGCTACTTAGTCCCTGGCCCTGTGCATTTTCTCTTTTGATCCTTACAGCCCCTCCTAAGCAAGTGCTATTCCCATTTTCCGGATGAGAAACACTGAGGCCACAAAGGTGACACAGCCAAGGCGTGGCAGAGGCAAGCTCTCACTCACTCGGATTCCTTAGACTGAAACCCCCACCCTCGGAGGCTCCTTCGTTTGCCCAGTTTTTGCCCAGTTGCCTGAGGTGGGGTGGGTTGGGGAGCAAGGTGGGTGAGCAATCTGGGAAGACTTCTCTCCCAGGTGACACTTGTAACCTTGGCACAGTCACCAGATTTGTCCTCAGTCTTCAAGGTCCAGAAATCAGATCCCTGTCTAGAATGAGCAGGCTATAAATTATCCCCAACTCTGAACCAGATACCAGAGGGCCAACTGACAGCACATGGTAGGTCTTCAACAAACACAGCAGGAAGCAGCAGTCCACACTCTGACCACATATTGGGTCACCCCTGCCTCCCCCCATCGCCCAGTCCAAAATCGGAGGACTGTTTGGTGAGCATGGAAGCAAAGCCAGCCGTATATTTGAGGACATCATTCATTCATTCATTCATTCGTGTGGCACATTTCTCCACTGTTGCGATTCTCAAAACAGTCGCGCATTAGAATCACGGGGGAGAGTTTTAGAAATTAGTTTCCCGAGTCCCGCCTACTGGATCAGAATGTCTTAGGGTGGGGGATGGGGTACTGCATTAAAAAAAGTCTCCGCCGGCTGGCCCAGAGGCGTAGTGGTTAAGTTCACTGCTCTGCTTCCACAGCCCGGGGTTCGCAGTTTCGGATTCCAGGCGTGGACCTACACACCAGCTCATCGAGCGATGGTGTGGCAGGCATCCCACAGACAAAATAGGGGAAGATTGGCACCGATGTTGGCTCAGGGCCAATCTTCCTCACCACCAAAAAAAAAAAATAAAAGGGAACCTCGGAAGTGTTTTAAAATGTCCCCCACCCCAGCCTGCAGAGGCATCTGCTGCCTGCCCCTTGTTGCCAGACTCACACCAGGGCGAGCTGATGGTTTTGTTGTTAGTCAAGTCAATTCCAACTCCTAGCACCTCTGTGGACAGCGGAGCGGAGCGGAGCCTGCCCGGTCTTTCTGCGCCATCCTCTCTCCTTCCGGCCTCCATCAGACAGGGCTCCATTCTATTCACAGGGTCTTCACGGCCAGTTTTTTCGGAAGTGGGTGGCCAGGCCCCTCTTCCTGGTCTGTCTCAGTCTGGAAGCTCCGCTGAAACCTGTCACCATGGGGGACCCTGCTGGTGTGTTAAACACCGGGGGCACAGCTTTCAGCATCGCAGCGACACGCAGCCGTCAGAGTCCAATACTTTTTATCGAAAGTACACCTTACCTGTTATACAATGGACACCGCCACCATGATCAAGCTGGAGGACACTTCCATCTCCCCAAAAGGCTCCCCTGTGCCCTTTGTGGCAGCTCCCTTCTGCTGACCCCCAACCACTGATCCGATTCTTGTCCCTAGACTGTTCCATTTGGGGGAATTTTGTATAAAAAGAACTGTATAGCATTTGTTTTTGTCTGGTTTCTTTCTCTCAACATGAGGATTCTGTGGTTCATCGGTGTGGCTGTGTGTCACTACTTCATTCATTTCCATTGCTTTGTAATAATCCACTGTGTGACTCCATCGCAATTTGTTTATCCACTCACCCGTCAGTGGGGATCTGGGTTGTGCAGTCTGGGGTTCTCAGGAATAAAGCTGCTATGAATATTCCAGAGCCTTATGTTTTTAATGCAAAGTGTACACTCTGTCTGTTGCAAAGGATCGTGGTACGGGTCTCATCAGCCCCACTTTACCGATGAAGAAACTGAGGCCCAGAGAGGGGAAGTCACCTTCACAAAGGCACACAGCTAGCTGGTGGCGGAGCTGGGATTTGAACCCAGCTCTGTCTGTGCAGCTGCACACCCTCTGAAACCCTCTCCATCCCGTGCCCTGTTGATGCTGGGGCGCAGGTCGGGGACTGTTCAGGAATCTGAGATATAAAGCGAGGCTCTTGGGTCCTTTGTCAATGCAAAATGGATTGACTCCTTCCCCAAACCTGGTGAAATAGGTTCCTACTATGCCCATTTCACAGAGTAGCAACCTGAGGTGCAAGGAGGTTAAGTGTCTGGCCCATGGTCACGCTCCAGGAAGTAGAGGAACCAGGACTCAAACCCGGGTCTCAGCCCAAAGCAACGCTTCACCTCCGAACCTCCACACACAAGGCAGAGGCATCGGCTGCCTTCATTGGCGGGTTGCCTAGTGAGCAAGCCAATGAGCGGAATTCCAGATTCAATTCCACTGTCACTTGCTTAGATATTTATCCATGCTATGCATTTATCAGCATATCAACCAGGTCTCTCATCTTCTGCATTCTGAGCCTTTGAAGTCTGGCCTCCCAAGGTCAGGCAGTTCCTAGAGATGGAGAACAATTCACCCTGAGCGTGTTCCTCTGACACAACCAACCCAGAGCCCACACGCTCACCTCCCTCCTTTATTCTGCCCTCACACTCCAGGCCACCATCCACCTGCCCTATTCACCCGGGTCTCAGGTCCCAAATGACTAGAGAGAGCCCCTGTGCCCCAGAGCCTGCTGAAGTTATTCAAACTAGCCCATCCTAAGCCTCCTTATCCTGTCTTGCCCATTCCTCCCCTCAGGAACCTCAATCAAGGCTCTTGCCCATGGTTTCCTCCTGCCTCCACCTTCTGCCTGACCCTGGTGCTTCCTCCTGTGGCCCCCCATGGCATGCATGTCCCCCTCTCGGGATCTGTGACTATATCAAACTATCTTTTCAATGGCAGTCATCACCTGACCTCTTGGCTTTACCATACCTAAACAATAATGAAACCTATATTAAAACCATCACACGCGTTTCTACGGATTTCTTGAGCACCTCCTGTGAGCCAGGCACCGTTTGGGGCCCTGGGGATAGAGCAGGTGATGAGACAGACCCAGCCCTGCCCCTCTGGGAGCTCTCAATCTTGAGTGGAAGAGTGGCATTAAACAAAGATTTACAGAAATAAATTGATCACCAACGAGACATACACCAAAAGCCAGAAAAATACAGGGGGGCTAAAGGGGATAACATAGGGGGACCTGACCCAGCCTAGGGGAGCCCAGGAAGGCTTCCTGGAAAAAGAGGCCCGAGGGATGAGTAAGAATCAGTGGGAGCAGAGGCAACAACCTGGGCGAAAGTGCAAGGTGGGACTGTGTGTGTCCGGGGGTGGCTGGGGGGATGTGAGAGGGGGCAGTGGGCTACATGAAGATGCTGGACTTTCTTCTGAAGGGGAATGGAAGCCAAGGATGTGTGTAAGCAGAGGAGTAACCACACAGACAAATTTATCATCTTAGAGGGATACGGCCATTGCCAGAAAACGAGGGAGCCCAGGAGGCAGAGAGCAGGGAAGAAATATCCCAACCTCTCTCTCCTCCCGCCCTCTGCTCTGCTACTGTGACCTCCCATTGGCTGATCCCAACAGGAAGTCATAGGGCAAAGGAGCTTGGGTAATGTAGTCCATAGAGGTAGTCCTCCCAAGGCACAGAGCAGGGTGGAGAAAGGCAGAGAGACAGTCTAGGGGCACGTGGAAAATCACCAGCACCAGCCCCATGGGAATCACCTATTATGTGTTGGTCGCTCAGGGGTTCAGAGCCTGCTTTCAGAATCCCTGCCCCTCAGCAGGGACTGCTGGACGAGGCCCCAGGGGTTGTCTTCCCGGACTTAACAAGAGACCATTTTTCCTAGTGCTGCACCAATCTCTCGCTCAGAGCCCTGCCCTTCAGCCAACCCTCTGTGTGGTGGAGCGTATGGATGGGCTCTGGAGCCAGGCTGCCTGGGGTGAAATTCTGGCTCCATCACTCTGTGGCTGTGTGACCTTGGGCAAGTCCCTTCACCTCTCTGAGCCTGTTTCCTCATCTGTAAAACGGTCATCATAATGATACCTACCTCATGGGGAGGTTGTGAGCAGTCAACAAGACCATGTCTAGCACAGGAACTGGGAGGGTAAGTACTCAATAAATGTAACCCATAGTTATTAGAAGGGCAGTGTGGTCTAGCGGTTACCTATGTAGACTGGAGCCTGGCTTAAATCCTGGCTCTGTTTGCAAATTGTGTGGCTCTGTGCCTCCGTCTCCAAATCTGGAGAATGGGATCATTTGTTTCTACCTCGTAGCATTGAGTGTTATTGTGAGGATTAAATGAATTGCTTATGTAAAATGCTTAGAAGAGTGCCTGGCACATCCGTGTTCAATTTCTATTCCTTTCCATTATCTTCTGCTCTAAGCCCCCATCAAAACTAGAGCATGCAATGCACCTTTGAAGAGACCCTCAGAGTGTCGCCCACCTCTCATTTGTTTCCCAGGGTATCCTGAAGAATTTCTGTCCAGCCACTTACCAGAAAACCACGTTGTGACTTTGAGATCAGCTGGGGTGTCTCCAGCCCCAGAGAGACCCAGCTTGTGGGTCAGAAACACAGACTGTGGTCAGAAACACTTGAATTTCAATCCCTCTTGAGCTTTCCTGTGTGGCCTTAGACAAGTCACTTAACCTCTCTGATCATCACTTTCCTCATGCGTAGAATGAGATGCTGGATCATGATATTAGTACAGCTTCATAATCACTCATCTCCTCCTGTGAAATCCAAAAAGCTCTGAAAACCTTGCCCCAAAAAAGCAAAAACATTTGGAGGCAAGATCGACACTGACGTGAGGCTATTCATAGTCTTAATTTATTTCACTTAAGGTCAATATCCTACATTTCCCTACAGAACACTAATGATTTTGATTATGGGAGTTGCCGGACTCCACCCCCCCCCCCCCCCCCCGGGGGTGAATTTCACAATAAAAGATATAGTCACTGTGTCAATTTTCTAAAATCCCAAACTCTCTGAATTCGGAATCACATCTGGCCCGAGGGTTGTGGACCTCTGGTGCCAAACCTCCAGGGCTGGGAAGATATAATGAATGAACGAGTGTGAAGCCCTTTGCACGGTGCCCGGCACATAGGACAGCTGGTACCGTTTTTATTCCAGACAAATTATTTCATCCTTCCCAGCAGCCACTGGAAGCCCGTGGGACAGCAGAAAGCTGCGTGTTCTGAGTTCTCTTGGCCATGAGATCTGATAACACCCCTTTTTAAGACAGTACAGCTGTGGATAACTTCAGGCAGCCATAGAAGTGGCTTCCAGAACGTTTTTTAGCAGTAGATTGTTTTTCCAAATTAAATCTAACATAGATCCCCGACATATCAAAGGGCAGACGATGATTTCATCAGCATCCCTTTATTTCATAAGTTCATATGTGTACAAGATGCATCCACCACAAAGAAAAATGAAGAGTTTTAACAGAACCAGCTTTGGAAATTGGGGTTTACAAAGGCCAGCCGCAGCCTCCCGCCAGCCAGCACATCCGATTTACTTGGGCATTTTCTTTCAGGATTCATCAGGATTTGCTATGCCAGGGATGTCTTGACTCACACAGGGAAGTCGCTTCGGACGGTAAGTTTTGCACAACCGCCTGCATTGCAACCTCTGGAAACCCTTCCACTGGCCCAGAAAAACTCGAAAGAGAAATGGAAGGAGATTTGAGTGTTATGGGCAACACTGAACAACCACTAACGTTGTATATCCCAAATATGAACGCTGTGTGGGAAACGCCTGAAACCCACAATAAGCACAAATGCAGCTTTAATATTGCAATATGATAATAAGAAGTGTCCCACGGTCCCGTTACTCTGCAATGACTGTGCCGTGATGGGAGAACGGCGTACCACAAACAAATGTGCCTGAGGTCTGCGTAGCAGTAATTCAAGTGCAGGCTCCCAGGAAACGATGCACACAGCAGTTCCGTATTCTGTGAGCGCTATGCCCAGGCTGGACATTTACAAGGAATAAAAAGATAAATAGAGAGCCTCAAACTCTAGACCATGGATGTATTTGCAGGAAGTCCAAACACATGTGCGGGGATGGCACGAAAAGCTTTCTCCCAACCATTGCAGAAAAGACAAGGATGTTGAGGCTGGTGATACAAGGCCAGCTTGGGGAATGGACAGCAATCATTCATCCAGATTTTACATTATGTCGATACCTATGTGAGCACTAAAACTTCCTTCTGTCTCGACTCCTGCTGGCAATGCAAGGACCCAGCTGGCATTTCTGACTGCCTGAGGGTGGGTCACTTGCCTGCACCCTGGTTGCCAGGTTGTGATGGAAAGACAGAACCGCCCCACCTTTTGGCTCTGTTACCGGGGCAAAATGGGGTAGCCTTGCAGAAATAAGAGAAGCCAGTGGACGCCGGGGTTCACAGACGTGACTGCCGCCCACCACTGTAATACATTGGGGGTCTCCACTATTACAATTTGGTAGGTAACAATCCAAGCCTCTGTTTGTCTGTGTGTGGAGTGTGTGTGTAAATTACATTTTTGGAAAGAAATTCAGCTCAACGCCTTGCAGATCTCTGAACAAATGCAAGTTTGCAAATTCACACGACAGATGCCCCTGGCCAAGAGGGCTGCCTGCCCGCGGGTACCTGCCTTCTCCCTGATTGCTTTGTTGTCGGTCTTCACCGTCACGGGGGACCCAGCTTATAGATTTGGGGATTCAACGTTAATGTGTTAATCGCTAACCCTTGAAGGTGACCTCCTAATTATTTCCCTCCTTTTGGACCTTTCCCTCGATGTCTGGCCTTTCGTTCTTTAGAGAGTGGAGTGTGCTCCTCCCAAGCCAGAGCTCCTTGGGCTTGATTTTGGGGAGACCCAACCCCTCGCCCCAGGTCCAATCAGAGCAGAGGGTCCCACGCCGGACCACCCCGTAAGGGAGACCCAGCATCTAGAGAACAGCGGCAGCTTTTCACAGAGTCACACACCGAGCAGTTCCTCAGCCTCGGAGAGCAGGCAGCTCCCGACGGCAGGCGTGGTTTCTGTTTGCCAGTGTGCAAAACAGCGTGGCCTATTCTGGACACGCTTGTGCCAGAGGTACAGTCAAGGTACATCCTCTTAAAAAAGACAAAACATGGCTCTAGACTTTGAAATGACAGGATCTCCAGCAGGGCCCAAAGCTAAAGGGGCCTGGGCCTCCTCCCGACAACCTACACCCAGCAAGAAGGACTGTCCCCAAGATGAGGCCGCGGGGGATGGCGATGGCCTTTCTCCCCAGTGGGGAGCTCCCTGACGCTCTCTTTCTGCTTGGCTTTTCCTCATCTCTGGTAAGAGATGTTCTTCAACACCTTGGAATCCCAGCCCCTGTTTCTCCTCTTCTCTTTCCTGCAAACACTTGCTTACGCAGGCGCCGTGGCTGCACCCCGCGGTCTCCATGGCAACGTCCGACGCGCCGCTCAGCTCCCACTGCGACTGCGCAGCTGATCCCGCGGGGGTCTCCGGGATGTTAGACGCGCTTTGCGGGTCTTTGAGACCCTTCCTCGCTCCGAAGTTACCCTCGCCCACTCAAATAGTATCCACACACATACTCAGGTGTTACTCCCACACTCTCAAATGCTACCCACAGCTGCTCAAATATTACCCACTTGAGCTCATATATTACACTCATACGCAAGGTGCTACCCACACACTCAGATGGTACCCGCACCTGCTCACGTATGTGATCTGAGTGCCGCGAGGGCAAGGTGTGGGTGTTTTGTTCCCAGCTGTATCCCCAGTGCCTGGTACACTGTAGGCGCTCAGGAAATATTTGTTGAATGAATGAATGATCCATACTCAACCAGATATTACCCACATCTCTTCAAGTGGTACCCACGCCTGCTCAGATACACCCAAGTGTCTCATATGTCACCCACTTGCTATGAGCGTCATGAATTCAGGAATTTGCTCCCTTCTGCATCCCCAGCTTGTAGAACAGTACCTGGGATGTGGCGGGTGTGCCATAAATAGCTGTAGAATTAACGAATGAATGAATGATGCTCACACAACCAGGTGTTAACCACGCCCACTCAGATGTAACCCACAAGTGAACAGATAAAAATACACACCCTCACTCACACACTAGTCCCGTGTTACTCATGCTCAGTCGGATGACACTTATTCTTACTCAAAGTTACCGGCTCACTAGATTAATATCCATCCTCGCTCACATTATCCACTCTTACTCTCATTCGCCAAACTTCTCACCTGGTACCCACCCTCCCACAGTCGTCACCCACGTCCACTCAGCTGGCTCCCCTCCTCACTCAGCCGCCCCCATGTCCACCCCACGTCACCTCACGGCTTCTTGTCAGGCGCATGGTGCCGCCGACGGTTTTTCTTGTGCTTCCGCTTGCCCTTTTTGTCATCTTCAGCCTTGCTCTCCTTCTCCGCCGAGTCCAGAGGTGGCATCCCGTCCGCCCCGGGGGTGGCCTCAGCTCCTGGCTTCTCCCCCAGCCCGGGCGCACAGCACTTTGGGGCAGGCAGCTCTCTGGGGCCCGTCAGCGTGGGGCACAGTTCCTGCCTCAGGACCCGGGCCACATCCTCCACCGTCCTGCCCTCGCTCTGCAGGAAGAGGTTCAGCTTCGTCAGGAATTCGACGTCCTGCTTCCGGGGCATGTAGACCACTCTCCACGCGCCGCCCTTGCCCTGGATTTCCCTGGGAACCGCAGCGTAATTGATGTCCTCCACCAGCCTAATGATGGCTGCCTTGGATCTATCTTCTTCCAGAAAGGCCTTCCCAGCCACTTCGAACTTGCCCAGAGGTTTTAGGGGGACCCGGATGATCTCTTCGAATTCCTCGTGGTCGCAGTCCTCCGGGATGCCCAGGATCATCAGGGACTTGTAACTGTCCACCTCGAGAGCCTGGCACCCGTGCTCCAACAGGGCAATGTCCTTGACGCCAAACAGCATCTTGCCCAGCTCTCTGAGGCAGCAGTATGCCCGCTGGTGGACACCTGTGCTGCCTCGGGAATCCAAAAAATTATCCAGGCTGCCACGATCCCTTCCCAAAGGCTAACCGAGAGAGAGGCCTCGCGGTCTCAGTTCGTCCAACTCAGTCAAGGAGGGCAGGGTTGCACAGCGTCCAGGGTCTGCAGCCTCCCCCTGAGAGGCCTGTTGGGAGTTCCCAGGGACTCACGCAGAGGGAGGCAGAGGTGGGCGTCTGCCAGCTGGCTCGTTGCTCCCGAGTCCTGGGCAAGGCAGCACCAAGGAGGGAAGGTGCTGCTTCCGCTCTCTTGCTGGTGGCCTCCAAAGGTCTCGCAGGTCCTGGCAGTCTCAGCAGATGTGGGACTGCCTGCCTCCCTGGGACTTCTGCCACTGGGGTGTCGTGGGTGGGAGCCGGGCAAGCAAGGCGGATGGTCCCTCGCCGCTGGGCCCCGAGGCTGCCCTCCGTGCCCTGTGGCGGGGCTGAGAGGATGTGGCCGCTGCACTTGCTCCGCAGTGACGTCACCGCTTCCTTCCCTCTGTGGCCGAGCGGTCTCCATGGCAACCGCTACAGCAACGCCTTTGTCATCGGCTGCTTTGAAATCAAAGTCCGAAGGGGTCATTCGGGGGTGAAGGGTCAGCCATTCACCATGGGAAGTGCCACCCCCCTTCTTTGAGAAAATGGCTGATTCCAGGGGAGCCGGGACAGGGAAGATGCAAAATGAGCCTGGAACATCTTTTGGGATCAGAAAGTAAAGAAATGCTCAAAGAATGATGAGAACAGGTGGAAAGACACAGCAGCCAGCTTGAAGGGCTCCCACTGGCCAAATCGGGGACAATTGGAGCAGCGACGTTACAAATAGGAAGAAGAGATCGTAACCCCTTGAATAAAATAGGAATCCACGAGTCCATGTAGCTATAAGTTAAATGGGTAAACGGAAAGTTTGGTGGAGGAACGTGGCTTCTTACTTGTCTCATGTAAAACTTGTGAATCAAAGGGAACAAAAGTATCTTTTTTTTGTGGACAGGACGTTGTGGAATGTCCTTGTTTGCAGGACACGCCCACTATAATATTCAGGGATTATATTCAGTATGACACGCCAGGTTGGCAATTTACTCTCAAAAGGGTTCAGAGGGAAAAAAGTTCTTTGCCCCACATTTGCAACTCCTGTAAGTTTGTGATTGTTTCAAAATAATTTTTGAAGGGATGTCCCACCCATGTGATGGCCTTCACAACGTCCACCCCTCCCCTTCCTACCCCGGTGATAAAAGCCTGCAAGTCTGGGCTCGATTGACGGCCTCCAAACTCCCAGCTCTGGCTAATCAGTATAATCCCACCCCTTTGCTACAGTGATTGGCTCAGAAATGGTCACCTAGGTAACCGGGGGCTAAGCCAATCAGTGCATTCTATCTCCCAGGTCAAGAGATTGATTGGTTAAGGTCTGGACAGATGAACTCATAGTCCAATGAGAATGAAGCTGAGGACTTTTGTGACTACTAATGAGGAGGAATCGGCTCTCTTTCTCCCTCGATGTAAAATAAGAAAGATGGGAGCTGCGGGAGGCCATCCTGGAACCCTAAGAGAAGCCACTTTAAGGACGAATTCTGCATCCGGAGGAAGGCAGAGCTGAAAGAATCACGGAGAAACCATGCCATTGATCTGATGACATCATGCCCTCTGGATCAAACCGTACCTGAAACTTACACACTCTGAAACTTTTTAAAAAATGCTTTTCAAATTGAAATACGACATATGTAATGAGAAATGTACAAATTGTATATAAAAATCTATAAACTGGGGCTGGCCCCGTGGCCGAGTGGTTGGGTTCGCGCGCTCCGCTGCAGGCGGCCCAGTGTTTCGTCAGTTCGAGTCCTGGGCACGGACGTGGCACTGCTCGTCAGACCACACTGAGGCGGCGTCCCACATGCCACAACTAGAAGGACCCACAACTAAGAATATGCAAATATGTACCGGGGGGCTTTGGGGAGAAAAAGGAAAAAATAAAATCTTTAAAAAAAATCTATAAACTGAACACATTGTATAGCCAGCGGCCAAATCAACAAATGAGCATCATCAGGGTCCCCACAAGAATGCTGTGTGCTAAGTCACCCCAACCTCTCGAGGGTGGCCACTATCTGGACTTTCAAAAGCATAGGTTCGTTTTTTTCTGGTTTTGTATTTTATATAAATGGAATCACATATTATGTGCTCTGTTTCTTGGTGACCATACATGTATGGTCTGTCAGGTATTAACCCAGGCAAACGGCAAGCTTTGGTAGATACCGTCAGTTTTCCAGCTTCCCAAAGTAGTTGTATCATTTTACTCGTCCACCGGTAGCATCTAAGAGTTCCAGTTCCTTCACATGGTTGCCAGCACTGGGTATTGTCAGACTTTTCCACTTCGGCAACTCTGCTGTGTATCTGATTGTGGTGTCTCTGGAGAGGAATCTTGTTGTGTTTTTAATTTGAATATTCCTGACGACCAATGACTCTGAGAATTTTTTTCAGATGGGCGTTGGCCATTTGGGTATCCTATTTTATTGAAGAGTCTATTAAAATTTTCGCTTGTTTTTCTATTAGTTCGTTTTCTTTTTCTTATTGATTTGTAGTGCTTTGTGTAGTCTGGATATTACCTCGATTATTTTAAGTTGACCTGAGTTGGATTTTCTGTAACTTGTATCCAAAACACAGCCCAATGAGCACAGAAAGGCCCATGAGTACTTACTGCGTCCAACATTTTCCTTCGTGTTGTTCACACCTTATAATTGTCACGGCTGTGAACTGATTAGTTTTACACCAGATGGCCTAGCATGTATTTAGAAACTTCTGTCTCTCTTTTAAATTTCAAAGACGCTTCCCAGCTCACAAGTATTTCCTCCTCTGGATCATCCTGAGAGCAGACAGGACCAGTGAAGGCTTGAACCCGAGGGCGGGACAGGCAGGGACCTGGGGGTGACCCAGGATGTGAAAAGTCCTTCAACTGGGAACCAGTCTGAACTCCAAGTTTGACCTGTCTCTGAGCCCTTATGCCCAGCACCTGGCAACAGCGCCCCATCCGTCCATGAATGCCAGCACCGAATGGCGGCTGTGTTGTCAGGGAGAGTGTGGCCAGTGTCTGAGGGAGAGTGGCCGGTGATACGATGACTCTGGACAATGTCTCAGGGAATGGCCACTGGTTGTTGAAGGGAAATATTTAAGTCAGAGACCACCAACTGCAAGCTCAAACATTGGAAAGTGGTCCTGAGATATGTTTTACTTGGCGAGCTCTACTTTTCAAATATTTGAATCAATAGCCAACTTTTAGGTTCCAAATTTATAAGAAAATACAGATTTCTAGTTTCCCTTAAAAATGAGGGAAACTGTCAAAATGGACCCTGATTCTGACCTAATTAAAAATCTGTCAGGGCTGAGAAGCTGAGAACCTGCCTCCATTTAGATGAAGCGACTGGTGTCTAGTTTTCCACAGACTCCACCAACCCCTATTGCCCCACACTCAGTTCCATTTATGCATCTACATTAACTGCCTTGTCTCTGTAGGTATTAGAATTTGAGATGCCTAATTTACAATATTAAATTGTGTCACCATTAACTGCTTTTATTAATTTGCCCTTCAACATCTTTGAGTAATTCTCCATAAAGAAATTTAAACACTGGCTAATGGTGGAGATACCAGGTCCCCCTAGGTCCAGCACACAGAAGCCTTCACTTCTGCGTCAAGCTCCCTCACAGTTAACTGGTGCCCGAATCTAGTGGGAACTCCCTTCAGACCCCATTTCTTTTTTTTATTATTTTTTAAAATTTATTTATTTATTTTTGAGGAAGATTAGCCCTGAGCTAACATCCGCTGCCCATCCTCTGCTTTTTGCTGAGGAAGACTGGCCCTGAGCTAGCATCCGTGCCCATCTTCCTCTACTTTCTATGTGGGACCTGCCACAGCATGGCTTCTTGAGCGGTGCCATGTCCACACCCGGGATCCGGGCCAGCAAACCCGGGCTGCCAAATCAGAATGTGCCCACTTAACCACTGCACCACCAGGCCGACCCCCAGACCCCGTTTCTTGTCTCCCTTCTGCACCAGATATCACCTTCTAGATCCTGTTATGTCGTTCCTTCCCCCATGCCATTTCTTCCTGTCTTCAGCCTGCGTGTACAATGATTCTTCAATTAGTGACGTTAAATTACTTTCAGGTGTGGAAGGAAGCAGGGACTAGTTTTGGACTGTCTGTTGGGGCTTTCTAACAACACGGATGTTGATAATAATACAACCACAAATATTGCCACTACTGAGAATCACGGTTTTGACATTCGCTGGCTCACTTCTGCCTCAGTCGGGATAGGTGAAGTTAGGCAGCAGGAACAAATAAAGCCGTCAATGGCAGGGGCTTAAACAGCAAAGGTTGGTTTCTTGCAAACACGCAAAGCCTGCTGCGGGTGCTCGTGCCTCTCGGGTCAACCTCTTTCGTGCTGTGGTTCAGGGATCCAGGCTGCTTTGATCTCCGTGTCGTCCTCTGCTCCCATGACCAGCACAGCAAGGCAAGAGAGGGCTGGGGACCCACACACCCGCATTTGAATGCTTCCACCAGGAAGCGACGCATGTGACTCCTGCTCATATTTCAGTGGCCAAAGCAAGTCACATGATCGCACTAACTTCAAGGAGACAGGAACGTGCAATCATGCAGCTGCAAGTGCAGGAGAATTGGAAATAACGGTGAACACAGAAATGCCCACCACAAGCTCTCATAATGTCCCAGGCACCATGCTGAGCTCTGCACACACATTTCATTTCACAACAACCCTATGACATGGGTGCTATGGATGTCCCCAATTTTATACTCAAGAAAACCAGGGATCAGAGAGGTTAATTCAGTTACTAAGCCCACACAGCTAACAAATGGCAAAACCAGGCTTCCTTTCTCAGCACCCTGACTCCTGGGCCCCAACGTTTAACCTCACACAACACCATGCCATTCCCCGAGAAGAAGGTGCCTCATTGTGTCGCCTGGCTTAGTTCCTGTTCTGTCATGCAGTTGCTGTGTGACCTTGGGTAGGCTGCTTTCCCTCTCTGGGCTGTGTGGTGATTTTGTACTGTGCAACTTAGCAAAGTTGGGTCTGTGTCTCCTAGAAAACCTTTCCCCGGGGGGCTCTGGGTTAGAGTTGTCTAAAAGAGACATTTGCAAGAGATGTAGACAGCAGAGGTGAAGCAACAGCCATTACGGTGGGAACGTCTGCGCAGGACCCAGGGGCCACAATGGATCATGCACCTTGTCACCGATCTGACAGACCTCAGCAGCACCTGCTCCCGCCGGCTCTCCTTTTCCAGCGTCTGTGAATCTTGGGTCCTGAGTGGCTCCGTGGGGGCAGGGCAGCGGCTTCGTCTACAGGTCATGCATGGAACTGAGGCTGGAGGGGTTAAGAGGCACGTGGGGCTTCCGGTTTGTTCTCACAGGTTCCAGGTGGTTCTTGTAGATTCCAGCTTCCCAACTACCCAGCCAACGGACCTACAGAGACTTCAGACCCAGCACTAATTA